GGGGTTGGGGAAGGCCTGGGGTTGGGAGCAGCCAGGACTCACCCACTCTGCCCCACCCCCAGACCAGGACCCTGCCCCAGTCCTTCCTCCTTGCTTTGCTCAAGCGTCATGATAATTATTTAGAATTTGCCCAGGCACCTGGCGGGCCAGGGCTGAGCCTGTGACAGAGGAAGGTGGGCAGTGCCAGGGCTGAAGGGGTTGGGAGCTGGGGAGGGGTGGGACCTGCTCTGGGTGGGTGTGTGTGTGTGTGTGTGTGTGTGTGTGTGTGTGTGTGTGTGTGTGTGTGTGTGTGTGTGTGTGTGGTGGGGGAAGCCTGGAGGCGAGGGAAGAGGAGGAAGTTGGGACCACAGGGAGGGGAGGATAGCGAGAGGTGAGAATTCCCTGCAGGTGCCCCAGGTGGCAGAGGAGTTTCTCCCCTTTTCACAGTCGGCTTCTTCCTGCACCTATAAGGGCACGCTGATGACGGAGGGACCCCGGCTGCCCTCTTCTAGCGCCTTCCCCCCGACCCAGCCATGCTGGCCACTGCTGTGGGAACAGGAGGCAGGGGAACCGGATGGGTCCCCCAAGCACCATGCCCTGGCTCCTCCGGCTCACCATGGTCCCTCCCAGGCTCCTACCACTTGCCATAGCGAGTGGCCCTTGCAATCAGGAACCAGCTTTGACCCTGGCCTTTGCCTGAGATAGCCCCACTGGCTTCAACCCAGCTGCAATTCCAGTCCCCCCCACCCACTCCTCTGGGCCACGTGGCTCTGGCTTTGGTCCCAGAGCTTCAATTTCTGGTGCTGTAAAATGGATGTCAAAAGCCATGCAGTAATTGGCATCCGGCAGGTGCTGGGGGAGGTGTGTGTCACCTCTGCCTCCTGGCAGGGCGGGCAGGGGACCTGGCGCTCAGAGAGGGGAAGACTCAGGCCCAGGGTCTCACAGGACACAAGGCCGCTGGGCGGATTCCCAGCCTCGCCCTTCTCTCTCACTGTCTCCTCTCCTGCTTTCTCTGTCCCTCGTCTTTCTGGTTCTCCCTGTCTGTGTCTCCCACTCATTCCACGTTTCCCTCTCTCTTCTCGTCTCTTCCTTTTTTCTTTTAAAGATTTATTTGTTGTCTAGTTGAGAGGCAGTTACGGGGGACAGAGAGCAACCTCTTCTATCTGCTGGTTCACTCCCCAAATGACTGCAAAGAGCAGGGGTGGGATAAGCTGAAGCCAGGAGCCAGGAGCGCCACCCAGGCCTCCCACATGGGTGCGGGAGCCCAGGGACCTGAGCCATCCTCCACTGCTTTCCCAGATCATAAGCAGTGGGGCACCTGGGACTCAAACTAGCACCCATATGAGATGCTGGTGGTATAGCAAGATGCTAGCCTACTATGCCATGGAACTGGCCCCAAGAATCACTCTGAAAACATATTTACTCATTAAAAAGGCAGAGCATGGGCCTGGCATGGTGGCCCAGCTAAATAAAGTCCTTACCTTGAATGCACCAGGATCCATATTGGTACTGGTTCTAATCCCAGCAGCCCCGCTTCCCACCCAGCTCCCTGACTGTGGCCTGGGAAAGCAGTCAAGGATGGCCCAAGGCCTTGGGACCCTGCACCTGCATGAGAAACCTGGAAGAGCTCCTGGCTCCAGATCAGCGCAGCACCGGCCATTGCGCTCATTCGGGGAGTGAACCATCGGACGGAAGAACTACCTCTCTGTCTCTCCTCCTCTCTGTATATCTGACTTTGCAATACAAATAGAATAAATCTTAAATCTGAAAAAAAAAAAAAAAAGGCAAAGTTGGGCCAGGCAGAAGCCAGGAGCCAGGAACTCTGCCCGGGTGGCCCACATGAGTGGCAGAGGGCTGAGTCGGAAGTGGAACAGCTGGGACTTTAACTGGTGCCCATATGGACTGTGGGCAAGGGGTGGTGGTGGTGGCCCCCAGACATCAGTCCTGGGACTTGCTTCCACAGCGTTGAAGAAGGGGCTTGGTCTAGCCTGTGTGGATAATGAGGCTTCTGGGAAACCCTGGGACATGACTTCCCGGCCGGCAGCAGAAGGGGTGGCCCCACCCGAGCCCCACCCAAGCCCCACCTGAGCCCCAGGGGAGGGTTCCAGTGGACTAGGCAGAGTTTCTTTCAAGGAGCCTCAGTGGGGCCACTGTCATGCCCTGGGCCAACGTCTGGGCCCGATCAGCCTCCTAGGCCACACCTGCCCACCTCTGGCACTGTGAACATTCAGCCGGGTCATCCCTACCTGCTGGACGGCTGATGGTCCCTCCCATGGCCACTGCTGGGGACGACACAGCTGGGGTATGACATCCTTCCGGGGGAAGAGGGATCCAGAGGTCTGTAGGATCCCCAGCGCTCCCTGAGCCTGTGGGAAGACCTCCTTCTGCCAGCAGCGTCCTTGGGCATCTCCTTCTCGCTCCTTGCCCCTTATGGGGAGACTTGGTACAGCCGTCCGTCTGGGGCAGTTGGGTTCCTATGTCGCTCGGAGTTGGGGATGCAGCCTTCAGCAGTGACGGAGCCCTCGCCCTGGCCACCAGCCTCCTCTGGAAGATCCATGGGTGTTTCCCTGAGCGGCGGCTTTGTTTGGAGGTGCGATGGGGAGTGTCCGGCTGAGCTGCTTCTGGTTCTGCTCAAGTTCTCAGTCCTAGGACCGGAGGGCCACACTGGCTGCGCCCCACGGACACCTCAGAGAGCTCCGGGTGTTCTATGAAGGACTGCCCTGCACACGCACCCCACTCCTGGAGTAACTGGAGTTGAAGAGAACAGGTTGTCTGTTCACACAGCTGTAAGGGGATTCTCTGGGGTGCCCAGAAACCCGCTGTTACCAAAGGTTACCGGCTCCCCTACACCAGCCGGCAGCCAACCTCTCACACCTCAGCGGCTCCAACCATCACGTTCCCTCTCTGCTCGCTCTCTCTCTTTCTCAGCTACCTTCAGTCTTTAGTTAGAAGTCCTCAAGACATGGTGAGAAAGATTTTCTGTCCGCTGGCTCACTCCCTAAGTGGCTGCAATGGCCGGGGCTGAGCCAATCTGAAGCCAAGAGCCCGGAGCCTCTTCTGGTGTCCCACATGGGTGCAGGGTCCCAAGGCTTTGGGCCGACCTCGACTGCTTTCCCAGGCCACAGCAGGGAGCTAGATGGGAAGTGGAACAGCCAGGACATGAACCGGTGCCCATATGGGATGTTGGTGCTAGTAAGGGGAGGATTAGCCAGTTGGACCATCATGCCAGGCCCCAGGGAAATAATTCCGTCAGCCCAACTGATCTTCCAGAGCAGGCTACAGGTCTTAGGTCATGGCTGATGGACAGAGAGGCCATCGGGACAGGCGCCTGTGTCAAGTTCAGTCAGCGGCAGCCAGGAGTGCTAAGTAGGAGCAGCAGCTGAGTCCTGTGTAGACAAAGCACACACAGAAAAGGAATGTCCCTACAAACTGGGCCTGCAGCAAATCATGGTTGCATTATACAGGGTCCCAAGGCATATACGGATCTCCTACAGTCACACACAGCTCACAGTCAGTCTATAAGCACCCACATACCATCTGGGAGCCGGCACTGTGGCATTTTGGTGGTGAGGCTGTGGCGTGAATTGCTGCCATCTTGTGTGGACGTGGGATCCAGTCCCAGCTTCTCCACTTTGGATCTATCTCCCTGCTAGTGTGCCTGGGAAAGCAGTGCAGGATGGCCCAAGTGCCCCATGGAATATCAGGGAAAAGCTCCTGGTTCCTGGTTTCACACTGGCAGAATTACAAAGAGAGAGAGAGAATCTTCCATCCACTGGTTCACTCTCCAGATGGCCACAATAGATGGGGCTGTGCAGGCTTACACCAGGAGCCTGAAGCACCATCCTGGTCTCCCACGTGGATGCAGGGGCCCGAGCACTTGTGTCATTTTCTGTTGCTCTCACAGGCGGATTAGCAGGGAGCCGGATAGGAAGAGCAGCAGCCGTGACTCAAACCAGACTCACACCCATATAGGGATGCTGCCCGGCAGGAAGTGGTTTAACCACCTCACCGGCTCCACGCACAACAGACACTGACCCATCCGTTCCACTGTACATGTGTCCATGCGTGCAACATGCATGTCACACATGCATCCCACTGATGAGGGGACTTCAAAAGTTCATTGAGAAGAGAGTTTATGAGGGTGAGTGTGGCAGTGGGGCTGGGAGGCAGCAGGCTGGGGCTCGGCGCCAGATGTCTGCTCCTTGGGTCCTGCCTCTCCGGGTCTGTAAATTGCTCAAGTTCTCAGTCCCGGGGCCTGACAGCCACACTGGCCGCCTGCCGGGATGCCTCAGGGGGCCCCAGGTGTTCTAAATGCCCTGCAGAGCCAAGATTTCCCTCTGTGTGTTCCTCTTAAAAAAAAAAAAAATACACATTTCTAAAAAAAAAAAAAAAAAAAAAAAAGAAAAGAAAAAGAAGAAATTTCTTTCCATGCAAACAAAACTGAAATAAACATGGTTTATATAACAAACATCCTCCATGACTTTGTAAGAGGCTCCCATAGGTCTGGATTTCAACTTTTTTTTTCCTAAGATTTATTTATTTTTATTGGAAAGTCAGAGGGACAGACAGGAGAGACAGAGAGATCTTCCATCTGCGGTTCACTCTCCAAGCAGCCACAACGGCCACAGCTGAGCCGATTCAAAGCCAGGAGCCAGGAGCTTCTTCTAGGTCTCCCATGTGAGTGCAGGGTCCCAAGGCTTTGGGCGGTCCTCGACTGCTTTCCCAGGCCACAGGCAGGGAGCTGGATGGGAAACGGGGCAAGGATTTAGCCACTGAATCATCATGCTAGGCCCAGGACTTCAACATCCTCCCAGAAAATGCCCATTTGCCCACAGAGGCCATTGGCGTGCACCCTGCATAGGTACCTCCATGCACACTCACAGTACACTCACACAGCTTATGCACTCCAGACACCAGCCCTGGCTTGTGAACTCAGGGACCCCCCATGCAGGCATGAGCCCTTGGGAAGCACCCCTCCAGCCGACTAACGTCCCTCCTTCCCTGCCTTGCCCCCACCAGCCATGAGCAGCGTCCAGGTGTCCCAGTCTTTCCAAGTGGCCCAGCTCCTCCTCCTCGTCTTCACGGTCTCCACCATCTTCCACCTGCAGCAGCGGCTGGCAAGGGTCCAGCACACCTGGGAAGGCCCCATGCCCAGGCTGCTGCCAGAGCCCACTCCGCCCTCGGTCGTGAGGCCGACGCAGCCGACGCATCCCCGGCTGGAGGGCATGTGGACCGTCAACGCCATCGGTCGTCTGGGGAACCAGATGGGCGAATATGCCACGCTCTACGCCCTGGCCAAGATGAACGGGAGGCCCGCCTACATCCCCGCACAGATGCACAACACGCTGGCCCCCATCTTCCGCATCAGCCTCCCGGTCCTGCACAGCAGCACGGCCAGCCAAGTGCCCTGGCGGGACTACCACCTCAACGACTGGATGGAGGAGCGCTACCGCCACATCCCGGGGCCCTACGTGCGCCTCACTGGCTACCCCTGCTCCTGGACCTTCTACCACCACCTGCGCCACGAGATCCTGCAGGAGTTCACGCTGCACGACCACGTGCGCGAGGAGGCCCAGGCCTTCCTGCGGGGGCTGCGGCGGCAGGGGAGCCGGCCCGGCACCTTCGTGGGTGTGCACGTGCGCCGCGGGGACTACGTGCGCGTCATGCCACAGGTGTGGCGGGGCGTGGTGGCCGACCGCGCCTACCTGGAGCAGGCGCTGGGCTGGTTCCGGGCGCGCTACTCCGATGCCATCTTCGTGGTCACCAGCAATGGCATGGCGTGGTGCCGGGAGAACATCGACACCTCCCGCGGGGACGTGGTGTTTGCTGGCGACGGCATCGAGGGTTCACCCGCCAAGGACTTTGCCCTGCTCACGCAATGCAACCACACGATCATGACCATCGGCACCTTCGGGATCTGGGCTGCCTACCTGGCGGGTGGGGACACGGTCTATCTGGCCAACTACACACTGCCTGACTCGCCTTTCCTCAAGATCTTCAAGCCAGAGGCGGCCTTCCTGCCGGAGTGGGTGGGCATCCCTGCGGACCTGTCCCCGCTGCTGCAGCAGCACTGACGCTGGAGTGGCTGCCTTGTCCAGGGTGGGTTCTAATCCCACAGTCTCCACCGCAGGCCCGCCTGGTCTCCTGCTCCACTTCTTTTGCATGGCAGTGATTGGGGCTGCCAGGAGGATAACTCCCAATTCACCTGTCCCCAAGGCTGGCCCTGAGAGACTGGAGTGGACAGAGCAGCAGCTGGCCAGCCCAGGAGCTCAGCAGCAGCTGGATTCCTACCAGACCATCATTGTCCCTTCTCAGGCTCGTTGCCTCCTGGTGCCAAAAAGGGCTGCCACAATCCAATTGTCACAGACAGCTGCCAGCCCTCTCCAGAGGTGGCCCAAAGTGGGACATTCTAATCCTGGGTCCTTCTGCAAGAGTGAGGGAAGCCTGCTATGTTTGTCTGTTTTCTGTTGTGAAAACAATGTGTCTAGGGTGCGGCACTTCATAAAGATACACACACACACATATTAAAAATATTGGTTGATTTGAAAGAGTGACAGGGGGTTGATACAGTGGCTAAACAGGCCAATTCTCCTGGTGCATGCGCTGGGACCCCCTGTGGGCACCTGCTTGTGTCCCAGTTGCTCCACTTCCCATCCAGCTCCCTGTCACGCCCTGGGAAAGCAGTAGCTCGTCCTTGCACCCCTGCATCTACACGGGGGACCTGAAAGAGGCTCCTGGCTCCTGGCTTCAGATTGGCTCAGCTCCAGCCATGGCACTGGCAGCCATTTAAGGAGTAACCCTCCCACTAGGCCACACTTCTTAGTGATCCCCTCTTCACTGTCACCCCAGTGAAGCAACCTCCTTGCCCGGGTGGGGTTACCGAGGGAGAGTGGGGCAGTGGCTCCAGGGGCTTCCCTGAACTGTTCCTCAGATTGCAGAAGGAGGCAGGTAGAGCTGAAACGGAGCCAGCACTGGCTCATCCAGGCGTTTCTGCTGGGCACAGAACTGCCAGATTGGCTGGGAGTTGAGCATACATCAGACCACAGGCTCCAAGCATGGGGTGCTCTTACTGAGCGCTCAGACACCTAGGGCCCAATCAGCCTGGTGCTGAAGTCTTGCCCTCCTGCCCACCAGCCCACCTGTCCACCTGCTCACCTGTCCACCAGCCCACCTGTCCACCTGCCCACCTGTCCACCTGTCCACCAGCCCACCTGTCCACCTGCCCACCAGCCCACCTGTCCACCTGCCCACCAGCCCACCTGTCCACCTGTCCACCAGCCCACCTGTCCACCTGTCCACCTGCTCACCTGTCCACCAGCCCACCTGCCCACCTGCCCCCCTGTCCACCAGCCCACCTGTCCACCAGTCCACCTGCTCACCTGTCCACCTGCCCACCTGCCCCCCTGTCCACCAGCCCACCAGCTCACCTGTCCACCTGCCCCTATCCACCTGTCCACCAGCTCACCTGTCCACCTGCCCCTGTCCACCAGCTCACCTGTCCACCTGCCCCCCTGTCCACCAGCTCACCTGCCCCCCTGTCCACCAGCTCACCTGCCCCCTGTCCACCTGCTCACCTGTCCACCTGCCCCCGTCCACCAGCTCACCTGTCCACCTGCCCCCCTGTCCACCAGCTCACCTGCCCCCCTGTCCACCAGCTCACCTGTCCACCTGTCCACCTGCCCCCTTGTCCACCAGCCCGCCAGCTCACCTGTCCACCTGCTCACCTGTCCACCTGCCCCCCATCCACCTGTCCACCAGCTCACCTGTCCACCTGCCCCCATCCACCAGCTCACCTGTCCACCTGCCCACCTGCCCCCCTGTCCACCAGCTCACCTGCCCCCCTGTCCACCTGCTCACCTGTCCACCTGCCCCCCTGTCCATCAGCTCACCTGTCCACCTGTCCCGAGTCCAGCAGTGACTGCATCCCTCCCTATCCTCCCCTGGCCTTAGTTACCATCAGAGTGCAACAAAGTAATACTTGTCATTGTGTCCCTTTGAAAAACAAAGTGAGAAAAAGAGAGATGGCTCCCCCAGTTACTGTTCACTTCCCCAAAAGGGCTGCACCAGGCTGAAGCCCGGAGCTTCTTCCAGGTCTCCGACGTGGGGACAGGGGCCCAAGCACTTGGGCCATCCTCCACTGCTTTCCCAGGTGCATTGGCAGGCAGCTAGATCAGAAGCGGAACCATACAGGACACCTGCATCACAGGCAGTGACTTAACCCGCTTTTCTAAGCCCAATGGGAAGTGGTTAGGGGTGTGACCCATCTGCTGGATGGATGAACTCGGCTGCTCTGTGGAGACAGGCCTGGCGGCAGTGAGCCGGGGAGGGGCCTCCATTGCATTCCAGGTGTAAAGTGGGGCTGGTGGAGGTGCGTGAGGGCTCCCTTCTGATGTCTGTGGAAGAGGGGTCTTGCCCTGCAGTTTGAGCCTGCGACCTGGGCCACCCAAGGGTGCTGTGAGGGCGAGGGCGTGGTTGCCACAGCACGGGCGTGGTCGCCACAGCACGGGGGATTCCAGCCATGTGAGCACAATCAACTCCAAGCAAGCTCAGCTTGGCTTCATCTTGACCCAGCCCTGGCTGCGATGGGCATTAGGCAGGGAGGCAGTGTGGGTGTGTGTGGATGCTGTCTCTCTCTCTCTAAACTGACCCTCATAACTGGGCGGAAATGAGTCCAGCTATCCCCGTGGGCCGGCCCCCTTAGCCCCGGGCGTTTGGCTGCCCTGCTTTTGGGATGCAGCTGCAGCGGAAAAAGCCAGAGAACTGGAGGGAGGAAGAAGCGGGGAGGGCCGAGAGGAAGAGGAGGAAGGAAGAAAGGGGCGGGGGGAGGAGCGAGAAAGCAATAAGCACCTGCCTTTGGCCAGGCGTGGATGCGCCTGTGCCGGGAGGGTTGAGAAGCGGGAACATCTGGGCTCTTCCCTGCCTCCTTCGACCTCCCCGGGAGGTGACCCTCACTGCAAAAAACATCACCTTAACTCGCGTGTCAAAACAATGATAACTAGAGAGTTCCCTGCTTCAGTCCTGAACGTGCACTGTGGCTGGAGCTGGGCGAGAATGAATGTAGGAGCGGGGAACCTGGCCCGAGTTCCCCCTTGGAGTTGCAGAGGGGCAAACACCCCTCCGGGAGCTGAAGTTGGGGCGCAGCCGGGATTAACGCGCCCAGGGCGCCTGCGTCCTGCGCTCCTGTTAAACAGACTATGGCAGGAGCCGGGACGCGCGCTTTCCCCGCGGCTTCTCCCTGGAATGGGCGCACAGATTCCCACCACCTGCTAATGGTGAGAGTACCTGGGACACCGTTTACCCTCACGTGTGGGGAAGCCGCAGGCCGCATCTTCAGTTCAGCGGGTTGAGGCATGTTTGTGCCCCTGCAGTGTGATATTTTTTTCCACCCCTGCCGTGAACTGGGATGAAAGCACTGAATATGTGCTCTGTGTGTGTGTTGTGTGTTAGAAAATTCTGCGTCGTCATGGTGTCCCCCAAACCACCACGCTGCCACCAGGGTGTCCCCCAAAACCACCACGCTGCCACCAGGCTGTGCATTCCCAGGAAGCTGGAGCCCCAAGGGGAACCCTGGTGCTCCAATGGGGGATCAGGCACCTGAACCCCTAAGCTAAGCGCCTGTTCCCCACATTCCCCCTTCCCCCTTTTACGGCTTATTGGTTTTTATTGGAAAGGCAAATACACAGAAGGAGAGACAAAAAGAAAGATCTTCCATCTGCTGGTTCATGCCCTAAGTGGACACAACAGCCGCAGCTGAGCCGATTTGAAGCCAGGAGCCGGGGGCTTCTTCCACATCTCCAGCACAGGTGCAGGGTCCCAAGGCTTTGGGCCATCCTCGACTGCTTTCCCAGGCCACAAGCAGGGAGCTGGATGGGAAGTGGAGCAGCCAGGATGCAATCAGGATGCCCATGTGGGGTCCCAGTGCTTGCCATTGAGCCATCACACCAGGCCCACCCTAAGTGGATCCCTAAGGCCCCTCGGAGCTCCCACCTGGGGCAACACTGGACTTGACCATCAGCGGTGAGGGACAGTGAAGGCCTCTCCCATGAGCACCCCCACGGTGCCCTCTCCAAACCCCCAATCTCTCAGCCACTCTCTCCCAGGCTTGGCACCCCAGGGTGCCAGCGTAGGACAGGTTCCAGGGCCCACTAAAACGCAAACTTGCCACTCCTACACCTGCCTACCCTGCCACGCTCACAGAAGGCACAGTGAGGGTCAGCTGGTAGCACAGTAGCACGCCATAGAGGTGTCAGTTCAAGTCCCAGCTGCCCCACTTCTGGTCCAGCTCCCTGCTAATGTGCCTGGAAAACCAATGGAAGATGGTGCAAGTACTCGGGTCCCCGACTGTGCAGGAGACCCAGATGGACTTCTGGGCTCCTGGCTTTAGGCTGGCCCGCCCCTGAGGGCCTTTGTGGCTATCTGGACCAGCACATGGAAGATGTGTGTGTGTGTGTGTGTGTGTGTGTGTGTGTGTGTGCGCACACACACGGGAGAGGAATGCACGTGCACACACACACACACACACACACACACACACACACACACATACACCCCTCTCTTGGTAACTCTGCCTTTCAAATCAGCAAACTTTTATGCTCCATGAACACAATGAAGGCTCTTGCCCCTGGTTCCCTCCCCTCCATCCCCTTCTCATTGTCCCCCAGGGGGCCCTCTCTACTACAGAGGACCCCTTCTTTGGCACTTGGGACAATAACATATGGTCTTTTTAGTGGCCATCCACAGAGCTGCCATCCGCAGCCTCAGCCTGCTGTGTCAGCGTGCCAGCTGTCTCACTTCCTGTCCTGCTATTGCACCCGGGCAAGCCATAGAAGATGGCCTGGGTGCTTGGGCCCCTGCCACCCATGTGGGAGACCTGGAGACCTGGATGAAGCTGCTGAGTGTTGGCCTAGCACAGCCACAGTGGGGACAGCCGCTTGGGAGGGTGCACCAGAGCGGATGGACAATCTTTCTGGTTTTGTCCCTCTGCCACTCTGCCTTTTAAATACATTAACTAATTAAATAGCACACTTTATCGCAAGGCTTCCCAGGTCTGCCCTGGGGCTGGAGGTGCCTGGAGCTTGGATCCTCCTCCTCCTCTCTCATATATCCCTGGCACCTGACAGCTTCTGCTTCCAGAAGCTGACTTCAGAGAGGATCCAGGCATCCAAAATGTCCAAGGACCACCCAGAATCCCCAGACTAAAGGCAGCCACCCAGGGCTGGGGGTGGGGACAGAAATTTCCAGAAGTCTCTCAAGGAAGCAGCAAGCAGCGTGTTTGCCCTGGGCAGCAGCCCTCCTACCCCGACCCTCACAGAGAAGAGCTGGCTGGCAGGAGGGCAGGCAGTGTGCAGGCAGTTGGCACAGCAGCCACGGGGGACGACAGGTGGGGAGGGGCTGGCGCTGATCCGGGTCTGTCTGGGAGGGGCTCTGGTGCTCTCAGGCCAGCCCCCTGCCCCCAGCCCTCAGTATGTCTCTGTAGGACTTTGGGGTGCCAAGCACCCCAGCAGTTGTCACCACGGATCTTCCAGCAAGTCCCATAACCAGGTGCCACCAGAGTCAGACAAGTCAGCCGAGAAGATGCTGGGGGCCGGGGGGTCGGAGCCCAAGGGGGGACCCCCACTCAGGGTCTCCAGCCAGTCCAAGGAGTCCGTGGGGCTCCCGGGAGAGAGGGACGGGGAGTTTGCCGGGGACGGGAGTGAAGACGGGAACACGGAGAGGCCTTCGGAGTCCGAGGAGGGAGACAGCACGTCGAAAGAGCCAGGGAAGTCCAACGGGATGGGGGGGAGCGGGTCTGCAGGGACGGAAGGAAGGAAGGAGGCGCGAGTTTGGGGAGCAAGGGTGGAGTCCCAACCCCTGCCCCTCACTTCCAGGGGTCCCAGGTGCCCCCGTACCGTCAGGCCCCTCCTGGTCGTCCAGGATGTCATCGATGCCCCGGTTCGGAAGCAACTATGGGTGGGCAGATGGGGTGTGAGCCTGGAACTCCTGTCCAACACGGGAAACCCATGCACACCCGCAGTCCGCCTGCACCTGCACGTGCTCACCTCAGCACTGCGGATCGCTGCCTGCAGCTCCTCCTCTAGGGTCAGGGCCGCTGAGGCCGGTGCTGAGGGAGCGGCCCGGGCCGGGGCTGGAGCCGGAGCTGGAGCCGGGGCACTCACAGGGACGTGGGCCGCACGAGGGGGAGGCGACCCCAGAGACAGAGCGCTCGGCTTCACCTGGGAGCGGGAAGGGGGCCGTTCTGGCCACGCCCATCGGGCACAAACTCCACCCACTCCACCTGTGGCTCCACCCCAGGATCTGTCCCCGCCCTCCATTCTGTCATTGGCCCCTCTGCTCTTTAAGGCCCGCCTCCTGTGGCTCTGAATCACGCCCTTCCCCGCCCACACGACCCTGAGGCTCCTCATTGGTTATGCGATTTTCGACTTCCCGCCTCCTCCCGCTCTAGCTCCTTATTATTGGCCCACGCATCCGTAGTCCCGCCCTCACCGGGCCCTTGCGGCGGGCCGTCCCCAAGGCCTTGGGCCGGAGGCGTGGCCAGGGAGCGCTGTCCTCGCGGCGAGGCCTCGGCCGCTCCCGGGGCGGGGCGCCGCCGCGCATGCGCTCCAGGAGCGTCGACTTGGTTCCCGACACCGGGAGGCCCCGCAGGCGCAGCTGCTGTCGGAGCTCGGAGACCTGGGGGTGTCGGGGAGCAGGCAGGGAAAGCGGAGCTGGGGGGACTCCGAGGACCCCCGAAAGACGAGCCCGGGGCTCCACCCGTCCCCACCAAGCACTGGCCCAGCCTCCCGGCCCCGACTCACCGTCAGCTCCTCCAGTTTGAGGGTCTGAAGTTCCAGCTTGTGTGAGGGGGGCCAGGGGTTGGGGACCCCAGGTAGGGAGGGCGAGAGGGGAGTGGGCTTCATCCTGGAGACAGTCGTGGCGGGGTGAGGGGAGAGAGAAAAGGTGCGCGTGGCCCTCAGAGACCCCCACGCGAGGAGGTGGGGCAGGGGGCTGAGAGACTCCTGGGACCCAGAGGAGCCCGCCCTGGACCCGGGTGCTCGCTGCTGTTTCTGGGATAACAGAAACGGGGGAAGGAAGTCATACCTAGGATGTGGGTGTTGTGAGCTGGTGCCTTCCGGAACAGGGGGGACCAGGGCCGAGCCCCTGGCCTGGGGGTCGGCCCTGGCCCCTTGTCTGTGTTCTGGAAACTCACGCCGGCCTTCAGAGATGCTGGGAGACTCCTGCAAAAGCAGGGGTGCCATCCGGTGCTGCCTCTCGGACCCCAACTTCCTACCCCAACTTACTGCCTCCCCCAGTCACGGACAAGTGTGGAGTGAGCAGAAAAAGGGGGCTGGGGTCTGCGCAGCAAGGAAGACCAAGACCCAACTCCTTGGGGGAGGCAAGGGGATCCCCTCATTTCCAGGCCAACTCACGTTTGGGGAGCTCCAGAGACCCAGATGGGGTTCAGGGCTGCAGAAGAAAGGGGCAGGTTCCAAAGGCAGGGCCAGAGGCGGGCCTGAGGCTGGAGAGACCGCAAGGCAGCTGAGAAGCCTGGGGTGCCTGGCCAAGGCAGGGCGGAGCCAGGCTGTGTGGGAGAGAGGCCCCTGCCCCTAGGTGGAGGTGCTGCCCCCACTCCGTGTCCACAGTCAGGCTTGGGGTCACGAAGGGGTGTGGTGGCCTAGGAGTACAGGCCTCTAGGGCTTGTCAGGAAGGGGCTGGGTCGAGGTGAGGGGGGAGGCGTTGAAAACCATAGGCTGAGGCTTCTCGGGTGCCAGACAGGGGGGCTGGGGTGCCTGTCTTTCCAGAGCTGGGGGACAGGAAGTGGAGTATCCCAGGAAGGACTGCCCAGGGTCCTTGGGACTGGACGGGTGGGCTGACCTCCGTGTGTCCCCAAGCATGGGGACGGAGCTGCAGGGACGGCTGAGGGGGTTCTCTGGCTGCCAGCCCCCTCCCTTCCAGGGCTCCCACTTACTGGAGTCCTGATTCCGCCTGTGGATCCGCAGCCGCAGGGCTGGAGAGGGAGGAAGGCGGGAAGGGAGTGTCCAGGAGCGGATGGGAACCCAGCCCCCTTGCACACCCCTGCAGGCGGGTGGGCGGGCAGCTGGCTCCCTTTCCCGGGCCTCCCGTCTGCTCCCTGCCAACGCAGCGCCACGGGCCAGAGGCGTTCTGGGGCCAGGAACCAGCCAGTGAGCAGCAGTAGGCAGCCCTGCCCCCACCCCAGCCCCACCTGCCGCCTCCATGCCCATGCCCACCCCACCCGGCTACCACCGCCATCTTGGCAGGCAGGCTCCTTGCTCAGCACCTCTCCTCTGCTGCTGCCACCTCGGCCCCTTCTGCACACTCACCCTTTTGCATGTGCATGTCCGTGGCTCCTCCTCGTGCACACAACTCCTTTCCCACACACTTCACCCTTGGCTCCCTGTGCCCCCTGATGCACCCAGCACGAATTCTGATTTGCACACCTAGTGTGCTCAGGAATTGAGTTCAGCTCTAACCCACTCGCACGCCCTGCACACTTGCCTCTGGGTGCTAAAAGCCGGCCTTGGACGCCAGCCAGACTTCACAGCTCCTCGTCCCTCCTCCTGCACTCCCTCACCAGGCATTTGAGGTCCCCTCTGCATTGTTCATACTATAGGTTTAAGTCAGATTTCAACTGGTGCAGCGCCCTCCCCTCCCAGTCTCCATGAGCTCCTTGCACACTCACTAACTTACTAAGTAACCACAGCTAGACTCCTTGCTGGGGCCTCCAGGATGCACAAGTGACCTCTGGCACAGAAAAACATGCCTAGCGGGTCCCTCTCCCACCCCAGAATGGTCCCTCCCCGGCCCACCCCCTGGCTCCCTTGCAGGAAGAAGGCCTCTCACCAGAACGGAACTTGGAGCGAATGATTTGGGAGCGCTGGGAGGAGGCGGCCAGGGTCATTGTCAGGGCTGGATGGGGACCTGGACTGGAGGGAGGGCTGCCCACAGGGGGACAGTCAGAGTGGAGGTCCGGAGGCTGCCCCTGCCTGCAGACTCAGCCGGAAAGGCTTGAGGGAGTTAGAGCCCTAACTTCTGGGATGGAGGGGCTGGTGCCCCAGGCCCTAAATCTGAAGGAGGAGGGTGGCTGCAAGCTGGAACTCCTGGGCATCTGAGTCGAAAGAGGATGGCAGCTCAACAATCTCCGGGCACTAGAACCCAGGAACCTGGGTCAAAAAGGGGAGGGTGGGAAAGCTCACAGTCCCTGGGGAATGAAAGGAGGGCACCTTGTGACCCACAGCTGAGAAGGAAATGAGTGCGGTGTCAGCCACCAGTGTCTGTGGGGAAGGGACCAAAGAGTTAAGGAGGGTGCCTCCCCATGCAGCAGGGGGCTTCTCACCAGGTGGGCTCAGCGCCGCTGTGCTCCGGGTCCCAGGGTCTGCGTCGGGAGACCACAGACTCCGCCCGTTTAGCCTGAGACATTTCGGACCCGCCCCACCGCCACCTCCCTGGGGCGTGCCAAGGGGGAGCCCCACTCTCTGGGACCCTGAGAACCGGGGCGGGAACTCGGGGTGGGAGGGCCTGGGGCGGGGCGGCCTTGGGGCTCCCCGGCGGCTCGCTCCTCCTCCGCTTCCTGGAGCCATGGGGTCGGAGCTCAGGGCGGACTGACAGAGGCAGCTGCTGGGTGAGCAGCAGCGACAGGTGGTCGTGTCCTGGTGCTGCAGGCAGGTGCCACCTGTCGCTCGCTTTTCCCCTGACGCAGCAGCAGCAGCAGGAGGAGTCAGGTTCGGCGGAGGGGTGGCCTGGACTGCGGGATCTTCAGGAAGGAGGGGGCTGAGGGGACATAGCCTGGACCCTGGGGGTCCGAGGGACGAACGGTGCTGGGAACAGGGACGCCTGTGGTGTCCAACAGTGCAGAAGGGGGACTCGGAGTCGGGCTAGAGGACACTTGGAGGCAGAAGAGCGACTGCTGGTTCCCACCAGCAGGCCTGGGGGCTTGCCAATCGGAGCGAACGTGGGGCGGCATTCGGAGACGCGTGGGAGTTCTCGGGCCTCCAGGGTTGGATTACAGGCAAGAGGGCAAGCTGAGGCCGTGCCTATAAATATCTCCTTGCAGTCGGCAGGGGCCCAACGCTGCAGGCAAGGGTCCTGCTGCCTCCTCATTCCTGGGGAAAATCGTCGCTAGAGCCCCGAGTCTGAACAGGCGAAGCGTTGCCAATACCACAGATACTTTTATTACTCCTTGGCTCTGCATCCCCAGCTCGTGTTCCCACCGTCCCATCCTCTGCTACCCGCAAACGCCTACTCCCAGCCTTCTACGGGGGGGGGGGGGGCCAAGGGGAAGGAGTTGGGACAGAACTACAACTCCCAGAAAGCTCTGCGCTCGGGCGGGCGCCCCTGAGGGGGAGCCGACCAAGGCTTCAAGGTTCGCGCGCTCGTTCGCTATTGGCCCTCAAGGAGGCGTGACCACGGGAGGTCCGTGGCGGTGATTGGCCGGGAGCTCCTGCTGCTCAAGATCCCACAGGAGGCGGCGGAGCCTGCGCAGTTCACGGTGCAGAGCGTCATCCGTCACGGGGCCCGTGAGGCGCAGGCGCGAGCTGCCCAGCGGCAGGATGAGGGGAGGGTGTGAGGAGAAGCTTTCGAAGATGTCCCCTAGGAGACCGGAGAAGACGGGATGAGATGCTGAAAACCAAATAAAACACCTCGGCCCCAATCAACTCCTGGAGCAGCGACTCATGGGGTCCCTGAGGCGGATGGCCGACTACAGGCACCTCAAAGAGTCCCGAGGAATAACGGGACTTTGTGTCGCCATTCCTGAGGTGGAGGGGTCCTGGGTGTGGAAGGAACTGGTCGGGGAACTAAGTCCCTGAGAATAAAACAGGGCACTAGAAGCTCGAAATCCTGGATCCTGGGAGAAAAGGGAGTTAAACCCAGCGTTCAGGTCCGGGTCCCCACAATACGGGCCAGGAGGAGGACGGAAGTGCAGATGTGGAGTCTGAGGAAAGCGGAATGACAGCAGCCTGCATTCCCGTGCCCTTCGTGTCTGCTTACCTGTGTCCACGGCATCTCGCTCTGCAGGTGGAGGGTCCCAGGCCGGTGGGGGCCCGAGGCCAGGACCCAGCTGGTAGTGGCTCAGCAGGTGGTGCAGCTGGGCAGGGGTCACTGTGGGGTGATCAGTTCGTAGGCTGCTCCATGAGGCCTGGTGAGGCGACCAGAGAAGTGTATGGTCATTTAAGGGGCGGACTGCGGAGAAAACCTAAGTGGATGGACCTCTGTGAGGTGCTTGGCTGTGTTTTCTGGGGCCTGCCAACTTGTCATCGAAGGCACAGTGAGGAGGAGTGTGCTTAAATCAACGTTTGCAAATGTGATTTGCTTTAGAATCAAAGAATAGAGCCCAGAGCGGTATTCTAGTGGCTAAAGTCCTCGACTTCCATGTGCTGGGATCCCATACGGGTGCTGGTTCGTATCCCGGCTACACCACTTCCCATCCAGCTCCCTGCTTGTGGCCTGGGAAAATAGTAGAGGATAACTCAAAGGCTTGGGACCCTGCACCCACATGGGAGACCCAGAAGAAGCTGCTGGCTCCTGACTTCAGATCAACTCAGCTTTGGGCATTGCGGCCACTTGAGGAGTGAACCAGAAGGTGGAAGATCTTTCTATCTCTCCTCTGTAAACCTGATTTTCCAATAAAAATACATCTTAAAAAGAAATCAAAGGATAGAGGAATTGGGAGAGGACACAAGATTAGCCAGCCACCAGTTTATATTATTAAAGCTGGTGTGGATGTGAGAATTTTCTATTGCATCATGACTGTTCTTGGTATCTGCCAGCCTCTGTAACTGAGTGGATCATCAGAATCATCAACCTGACTCCAATTAGAGACTCAAATCAGACTGGGGTTCAAAAATCCCAGGGGGGCTTATCGCCCTGAGACAAGCCACTGTTCTTCAGTTTCCTCATCTGTGAATTAAGCAAAAGGGAGCTACCCAGAAGGTAGTTAGGGCCATGCAGTATTGTCAACTACTTTGACGGTGCCCTGGGCCTTCCTAGATGCACTGCAAATATTTGCTAAATCAACAAGCGAAACCAAGTGACTCTGTTTCCTCATCTGAGGAGCAGTTAATAAGCGACCTCACAGGACCTTGTCAATGTTAAATCAGGAGAGCTCATCACAGAGCCTGGTGTGCGGCTTGTGTTCAGTGCGTGTTATCAACGTCACATGGATTTCTTGGATTCATTCCAGACCTCCTGACTCAGCATGTCCAAGGGAGGGACCCTAGAAACTATTTTTTTAGTAAGTTTCACTGGGATTCAGATACAACCCAGTTTTGGAGTCGCTGGTACTGGCTTCCATCTAGCTACAGATGAATCACCTATGGTGTCCGGGCTGCAGCCATGGACAGACAGGTCCTGGGGGATCTCAAAGAGTGAGCTGGACACAGCATGAGAGCTGAGTTGGACTGAGGAGGCAGGTATCAGGGGTCAGGGAGTTCTGACTAACAGTCACCTTGAGCAGGGAGGTCCGGGGCACGCAGAGCAGGTTCACAGCCATGGAGAGTTTCCGGAAGAACTCCATAGCAATGTCACCCAGCCCAGCTCCCTGCAGCCAGTCCAAGACAAGGTCCAGGTTGGTTCTGATTTGGACTGCTCTGGACCACTGATAGAAAGGTCGGCCTTGACCTGTGAGAGAAAGTTATTAGATATCAGATGGGTAGGCTCTGTCCTCCTCCCAGGCTGTGCCCATCCCTTCAGCCTGAGAGCTGGAACAAGTTCTCAGCAGCCACAGGTGAGGACTAAGCCTGGGCTGTGTCTGACTTGTGCACTTCTGAAGCTCCCGTCCACCTCCTCGCCAGAGCCTCACCTCGTTCCATCAGTGAGTTGAGGAGGGATGCATTGGAGAAGAAGAACAAGTAGCCAAAAGTCTGAGACACAAGGTCTGGGTGCAGCTCACACTGGCCCGTCAGTTCCAGGGCTGCCTGGAACACGCCCAGCGTCGGTCTCAAGCCTGGAGGCATGGCCGCCAGCTCTGCGCCAGGCCCTGGCAACTCTGCCCCCGCTGTGAAAGGGTTGCTATCCAGGAGAGCAGGCAGTGTTGAATACAGAGTCTGAGGAGACAGAAAGGCACGACAAGTGATTGGACTGCGACGCCCTGGAAGCTCCGTGGTGGTAGAGCATGAACCTAATATGGAGATTCACCAAAGGTTTCTGGAAGCTGTAGTCCATTTTTTAACTGAACACCTTAGGGTCTTCATGAGACAAAAGATTGAAAGAAAAGGAGAGCTCTCTGTGGGTTCACTCTGTGCATTCCAGACCAACAGCCTGGAACTCAATCCAGGCCTCCCACTGAGGGAGAGGGGCCCAACCACTTGAGCAGCCACCTGCTGCCTTCCAGGGTGCAGGAAGCTGGAATTGGGAACCTGAGGTGAACTGAAATCAGGAATTCCACTATGCGATGCACCCGTCTTTAGCAGCATCTTAACTGCTGCGCCAAACATCTGCCATGGTTACTGGCATTTATGGGTCATGTCCCATGAAAGGCGTTCTAAGAGTTCAGGTGACTTTTTGTGCATCATGGGACTTGTAGTTCCTCAGCAGGATCAGCTCCAGAAGGACAGACACTAAAGGCCTCCTTCAGTCAAGAACCAAGTCCTCCAAATCCCTGAAGGAAAGCGAAAGAATGAAAAGCCAGGAAGTGGGAGGCAGATGGCTGGCAGCCAGCCAGCCAGCGGAAAATAAGGCCAGGCCAGGAACAGGAAATGAGGTCAGAGGCAGAGGCAATCAAACCCCACTTGGCAGGAAGCAAAGCAATGGAGAGACAAAGCCTTCACAATCAGGGCTGTGCAACTGGACGCTGTCCGTCCCCAGGGATTTCCTCTCGCTCTTCAGACAGGGTATGAGGGTCACAGGCAGCAGCGGGGAACATGGGGCAGACAGCAGGCCCTGCAGAAGGAGCACTCGGAGGAA